TGTTTAGGAGGAAAAAGAAAAATAAGAAAAAGAAAAAGAAGAATTCCTTCAATTACAATAGGGCCTTCGCACGTTCAGTGCTCGGGCCCTAATTAATCATGCCTAGTCATGTCTTAAAAAGGAGGAAATCCTCACAGCACTCAGAGAGAAAGCTGTTTTAAACGACTATTTTGAATCTTCTGTTTTGTTGTTTTGTTTTTAATCAGCAAAAAAAAACTAGGAACTGTACATTAATGGAAATTTATTTCTAAAACAAAAGTCTTATTACAGCAGTTTTTTAGTGATACAACATTCTTTTATGTGCACAACTTTTAACCTCTCGAGCACCGATTATCCCTCCTAAAAAGTTTATGTGCAGCCCGGTATTGTATGTGATTATTGACACAGCTAAACCACACATACCCACAGTGGTGAAGTGAATTATTCTTTCCTCCCTACATATTGTACACCCAAAGTGATGGGATTGAGAGCCAAACTTTTGATCCTCTGCATTTTTGTGTCTATTCTGCCACTTAGCAATCAATCCATAACCTAAATCTACCATAAAAATGGGAGAAAACGGGACCTCAGCAACTCCACACCTCAGCAAGAACCAACTGTACGCACATAGCCAGCCTTCATCCGCCCAGGAACGAACAAATGATGATGTTTCTACATGGCTGGGGCTAAAAGTCTAGCATCCAACCATCAAACGGGGTAACATGTGGCCCTGATATGCTCTTGAACTAACTGCAGATTGTATTGAAGCTCTGGAGGACTAAACAAGACTAGGCAATTAACTTGTTGGTCATCAATTTTATGAACTACATTTTTTATTTTTTTTTTATCATGACTCAAGAGTGCACTCCAGTGGAAACACTAAGTAGCACAACTTCAACCTGGACAAAGTAAATGGGAATGGATGTTTCACAAAATGAGGGAATGGAAGGGAAAAGGTGATAAACGGACTTATTACAGTTATTATCACTTAATGTGGAATGTGTTGAAATGTGTGAAATTTAAATGTGTAGCATGCAAACTAATGTTATGTGTCTATTTTGAAAAATCCAGTCGCCTCCAGACTTTATCTTTACTGTTGCACATTCAGTGGCGTAAAGCTGGAAAATGCATGTATTGTTATCATACTGTAAAAGTAACTGTGGACTGAAAACATGGCATGTACTGTTCCTCCAAAACAGAAAATTGCAACCATACTGTACCAATAAAGAGCAGCTTAAATAAAGAATACAATAAAGATTCGCTATAGTTAAAGATTAATAGGAATTATCATGTGGGATTATACATAAAACAAATGAGTGGAAAGGAATGGATACAATTAATCACAACTGTCAGCATTCATTGCCTGAAACTATTGCCACATTAACCCTTAACCTTCTCCATACTTCAAGCTATTTCCTTTGAGGACTGACAGAAGTGTACATAATATCTATCTGCAGGTCAGGTACCAACTCAAAACAAGTAACGAGGGGATTTTATAACCCATTCAACCACATAGAAACACTTATTTGGTATTTATAACAACTAGGATAGTCATTCCTTACATTCAGCTCCACTTATACTTTAATCCAGGTTATTAGCTGACAATAAACGCTCTATATTCTATCATTCAGTCACAGATCTGTTGATCAATGAGTAACTCCACTGGAGCAGCTGGTTAAATGATAGCCTTTAAAAAAATCTGAACCTATCTTTCATGCCATATGTATTCAAACCATCCTTCTTGTCTGTGAGGAAGTGATCCCTTTCTAGTGTGACAACACTATAAAAAATGACAGACAAAATACACAGTCCTCCTCATTCAGCCAGAGACATTTATGTCAAGTAATTGACCATTTATTATAGAAAAATGGTTTTACTGTATTATTTGGTGGAAAAGGCTTTGCTCTTTATGGGAGCTCACAAAAGATCAGAGGATTCTGCAGAGAGAGAGTTACTCCCCCAAACACATACAGTAACAGCACAGACTCAAAGATAGATGTAAACATACATATTATACATATATATATATTAGAGCTTAGCAAAACAAACCTAAGAAGAGGTTGTTAGGTGGAGGTAGTTGTGGCTGAAAGTGTTGGCATCAGGAATCAGCAGGGTAAAAGGGAGAACTTCAGTTTATAATGGCCACTTTGCACACAAATGTGATATTACTACTCAGCTGGTAGCTAACTAGTAACAGATGATCCATAAAGAAGCCAATGATACCAAGCATGAATGAGACAGCAGCTGACATGAGGGCAATTGAGTTTTCCGCCTAAACTACCAAAGAGCCTAATTTCTGTGCGAAGCTAATATAAGGCATCTGCAAGCTGAGTTAAGGTACGGTCACATTACACTTCAGTCTACTGAATATCTCCCATTCACTTCATTTGAAGCCCACACAACAGTGCGATCTCCTTTGTTCAACTTTGACTAACTGGATGTGCTTTGAAAATGTAGAATTTACTATTCCACCCAGTTATTATATCTACATATAAATACATTATTCATACTAACTTTACATTGTCATACTACTTGACAACAAATTGTAGCATCGCTCTCAAACACTGTTTACAGTTTGTGATCGCTCTGAGCAATATTCATTATACATCAGAAATGTGACATTTTAAGGCTGCATGCAGGGAAATTTTCTTCAAGAGAGGGGTAAATGTGACCATATCTTTAGCCGGGCTGTTTGTGGCTTTATTGCCAGTGCGACTACCAGGATGAATCGAGCCAGCATGGCTCAGCAAATGAACACTGTTCATGTACACACAAAGAAACATTTCATACTAAAGACACTGCAACTCTAACAGATACCCACTTAACTTGACTGCTTTCTTTCCATGTACTGTATATATGGCATGTGAGTATTTTATTAACAAGCAATGACTAATTCAAATGTATAATTTACTAGTAAGTACATTTAAAAAGGCTTTTTTTTATCTGACTCACTATGAAGAAAATAACAAGGGGATGCAGTAAATATTTAATTTAGGGTTTTCATGGCTGAAAACCAGAGTGGTTAATAACTTGGTCTTATCTGTACTCTGTCCTCTCTAACTGAAAGAGAAAGACATGTATTATGCTTTCATCTCCTTGAGTCTCTCTATTCCTACATAAACATCATGTGTCTCTTGGTAATTCTGGTCAGCTGCTACCCTTCTCCATCTCTCTCCTTTTCAGAGTGACCACTGACAGCTCAAACTACATGAAAACCATTCATCATTGCTTCTTTAACATCAGATTAATGTGGGGAAAAACAGAACATATAGACTCTCTTTCTCTCTCTCTCTGTCACTCTAATACGCACACACACACACAAATACTGTATACACACCCGACTAGCTCTGTATAAGCTATCAATCATAGATATTGTCATTATTCAACTGTGTCATCGACAAGCCTCTCTCTCTTTCTCTCTCT